CTGAGATCTTCGGCTTGGGCTTATTATCGTTCATGGGGGGTATTAACTTCGGACAGTCAAAAAGGTCTGCCGCAAATTACAGTATGGTGATTGAATCGTCATATTGTACGTGACACTGTGATCGGAAAATGGTCCGGGAAAGTACTGATTTAATCTATCCCTAGTTATCATTCGACCATTTGGCTTTTCTACATGCGGGGCCAGGTTTTGGCTTTGTCATGAGATGCAAATAAGCATATTTGCAAAGAGCATAATGCTTGACTGACCATGTGTAGTCAGGTCGTCTTTCGAAGTTGACAGGAACCACTGCTGCCTTGGGTAAAAGAGGGGAATAACATAGCAGCGAATTCGCCCACATCCAACGCTTATTTTGTTTTAATTAGAAGACTAGGTGAGGAGGACCCAAAATAACTGAGGTAAGAACCAAGTCAAGCCTGTTGTTTGACAAGGCAATGTTCAACTATCACTAACCACAGAGTGATTTTATTTCGAAAATTGCCCCAAGTGATTTTAAATGGCCGAGAGCTAGAAGTCGGCTAGTCTTTGTTAGGTCGATGTACATTTTGCCTATTCACTGACACTGAGGGCTGATTCTTATACCACCGTTACCAGTTTCATCGGCTACGGCTTGCATCTAGTTTTGTCCCACATGCTTATCTCTTCTTCTCTCCCACGCCGTACAGAGGCATTTGTTTGAACGCATTAAAACTCTACTATGTCAGCCGCACTGTGAATGCGTGTCTCCCAACAGTTTTTTCACTATGCTCAAGTCGTTCACGAACTCTCTGTCTCCAACACTATCGTTATAGTTGATACTCACAGTTCATCTCTCCATTATCCGCGGTGCACATGTAGTTGACCATTCGGCGCCATACGTATCCTCCTGTATGCCGTACAGCTGTGCTTGTACTTACTTGTACTTGTTACGGCTGTGATCATGCCTGATCTAGCCGGCCTCAATGATGTCACGAACGGTACCTCTCCATGCGTGGTAAATGGCGGCAGCGGATCTGGAAAGCTCCACCTAGTCTCTTCTCCAGCGGGGGAGACCGAAGATAGAAGGTCCAAGAACTGCTTCCGTGTCTTGACGGACGGTGTCGAACCAAGTCTTCAGTTGCCCTCCTCTTCGACGTTTCCAGGTGGGCT